GAAGACAGTAAGCAAGACTAAATAAGAGACTTTCCTTCCTTCCTTCCTTCCTTCCTTCCTTCCTTCCTTCCTCCTTCCTTCCTTCCTTCCTTCCTTCCTTCCTTCCTTCCTTCCTTCCTTCCTTCTTTCCTTCTTTCTTTCCTTCCTTTCTTCCTCTCTCCCTTCCCTCCCTCCCTCTCCCCTTCTCTTTCTCCCTAACCCCTTTCTCTTTCCTTCTTTCTCTATTCTTTGTTTCCTTATTCATTCTGTGCTGGTCCTAGGTAGGGCTTGAACTAGGGCCTGGGAGCTCTCACTGACCATTTATGCTATAAACTAATGCTTTACCACTTGAGCCAGAGCTCCACTTTTCAGTGGCAAATTGGAGATAAGATTCTCACAGTTTCCTGGATTCAATCTGCTATCCTCAGATCTCAGCATCCTGAGTAGATAGGATGAAACCTGAGTAGATAGGATGAAAGGCAGGAGCCACCAGTTTGAAATTTACTGCCACAAATTTGACTTTTATAATTAGAAATTTTAAGTATTTTTTCAAAGCATATATATGTATGCATATATATATAAACAGTGAGAGAGAAAAAGAGAATCATAATGATGTCTTTAAATAATGTAACAACAAGCTCAGTGCCAATGATTCATGATTGTAATCTTAGCAACTAAGGAGGCTGAGATCTGAAGATAGCAGTTTGAAGCCTGCCCCTGAAAAGTCTGTAAGACTTTTATCTCCTCTTGATCATCAGAAAGCCAGAAGTAGATCTGTGGCTCAAGTGGTGGAGATCTAGTCTTGAGCAAAAATGCTAAAGGACCTCACATAAGCCCTGAGTTCAAGTCCAAAGATGAGTGCATACACACACACACACACACACACACACACACACACACACACACACACACACAGATAAGAAAAGAGAAAAAATGTAGCAACAAGGCTTGTGGAGTAATTCAAGTGGCAAAATATCTTCCAAATAAGCAAGCTGAGCAAGCTTGAGGCCTTTACTTTAATACCTAGCCCTGCAATAAAAGCTAAAAAAATTCAAATCAGTTGCTTAAAAGTGTAGCATCAGCACAAATAATGTATTCTGAAAGTTTAGCATTGGTTTTCTCCACATATTGTCACTTGGGATTTTAATTCCTTTTATTTTTGTGTTGCATTTATAATTTTATATGATGAATGTCAATGATCTTTAGAATTAAAAAAATAAGTATTTTGCTATATGAATTATGTATTGGATCACAGAGACTTATAGTTGTCTTCTGTATTCTAAATATCTTGCCTTTGTCTGCGAGTGACTTTCGTTTACATTGATTACAAGAAGCTTTAAAAGTGATACTCCTAAACTTCTTGCAATGCTTTCCACACTAAAACTTTAGTGAAATTAAAAACATTAACTCAATAGTACACTTGTGCTGATACCAGTGTCATAATTAATGACTTAGAACCTCAGCTCATCATGTAGCAATCATTAAAAAAAATTATGTTGATACTTCATTTCATGAATTAAATACTTTGAACAGTTCTTTAAATTCATAACATCAAAACATTATGGAAATAATTTTTCAATGAGTCACACTTAGAAAATTTTATGCTTACATAAAGGGAGTACAAATATTGAACCTTTATCATTCTGCCTTTTATTTTTTTAAAGCAAATGAAGCACATTTATCTGAAAGGGAAAAGAAAGCATCAAAGGAAAGTAGGAAGACTCTATGCATAGAGGGGCCCCAAAGAGGAACCCAAGGGAGTCCTCCTGGAGTGTGTTTTTTGTAGTACAGGAGTCCTCCATATTTCCTCCCTTGGGCATGGCACTGATTACTTGATGGTTTGTTCATGCACTGCTCTGACTTTTTTCATTGGTTGAGTGGATGTCAGAGCATTTTGGGAAGAAGCATTTGAGCAGGATCCTGAAACTAGAAGTGCCACCATGATGGGCCATGTGTTATATCTTCCACAAGTATGTCTACATCTTTCATCCCAGTTCTTTTTTCCTTCCTTCATGCCTCTCTCTCAGATGGAAAGCCTACCTGCCATTAGGTAATGAAGGCAGTGGTTGCTCTGAGTTAGCTCCTGCTGAGATAGTACAAATTCAAAATGACAATCTAGGATCCTCCAGGAATGGCCTTGTAGGTGGGCAGGACATGGTCTCTGCACTGTTTCAGTAGAACACAGTATCTTCATAGGATGATTTATATGAAGCTCCTTTTTGAATGGCCTTTTATAGCATGATGGACATCAATCTAGAAGAAACAAACGAAAACAAGTTGAGAATGCAGGGGTCAAACACCAGCAGAATTATTATACCAGACAAGGACACCAGAATCAATTCTGTTAAACTTACAAATTTGTATTCCCTCATGTTAAGGCCTGGAGAGACTTTTCAATCAATATTAAACAATGTAGTTGCAAAATACTACTTGAATACAGAGACCTAAATTAATGACTAAAACTGAAAAGATTGCATTCTTTTCTTTAAATTGCCAAGTACAACTGGAGTTTAACATATGAATATTTATGTCTTAAAATTTTATTTGTATTCTTTTACTATTTTTTCTGAGAAATAGCCTCTCTTTAAGGAACAAAAATCAGCTTTATATACATAGACCCTGTATTTATGGATCTCAAATTAATAACGAGCTTATACAACATCAGATGGCAAGGTCATTAAGAATAAAGACCTTATTATTATTATTATTTTTACTTTATGTCTGACCACAAAAAGAGATGTAAAGTTCAATTATAGCCAGAAGAATTCTCCAGCCCTAATTTACTGGCTAAGTTTGTTTTTCCAGCCATACCACATGCCACACAGCTGTGAACTACTTAGAGGTTTACTGGACACTTCGGTTTAGGAAGATTTTCTTTCTTTCATTTTGATTTTCTGCCTCAAATCACTTTAGGAACAATTTAATGTAACTCTATTAGGTATTTTCTGAGCCATTACTACTTCTTAATAGTTCTGATGTCTTTGAGGCAGGCATCCTTCAAAATTGTTTTTCCTGAGACTTTGGTTTGATTCACTTAAGATAATAAGCATTTAAATAAATACAAATGATGTGAATTATTATTTTGTCCAACAAAGGCCTAGCTGAATATTGGGGCTAAAGCAAGGATTGAGGCACACAGGTGGCTGTTTTCATGGGGAGTACATTCTAGTGGGAGACACCTAAAAATAATAAATAACCAAATAATTGAGAGGACATTCATGAAGGAAATGATGTCCAAGTAAGAATACCTTACTTTAAGAGTCATTTTCAGGTCTTTTTTCCCAAGGTTGCTAGAGGAGCACAACTCACATTGAGATGTAGAAAATGTTTATCTTTTAAAAGTGAAAAGAAAGGATAGAGGAAAAAAAAGAAAAGACAAAGCAGGACAAAGGAACAGGCCTGACATAATAAAGCAGCCAATCAGAAATTATCAGAGCAAAAAGTGTCTAGAACAATTGTGCTCACCCAGTGGGTATTGTATTCTAAGCTGACACCACTAGTAGGAAAGGCTGTGGGCATGAGAATGGGAGGTGAACTCAGCCATTCACAGCAACTATGCCCTTATAGATGGAATGATTGGCACTGAGGACTTGGGAGATGCTCCTAAGTCATGTAGAGAGACTTAGGCTGGAATTAAAGGTTAGTTCCTCATTTATTTCATGTATAGACCTGCTTTCAGCTAGGTTACTTGTGATGTGGGCACACACATGATTCCTAAGAATCAAGTGATTATGTGATTATCATTCACTAAATTTACAAGGTCACAAATGCATGTCCCCAACTCAAATTGGCCTAGCCTGCTTCATTTTGTAAAAGACTTCATTCTGTTTGGCAGGAAAGCAGTTTAATTTTGTTTTCCATGAACTGTTCTTCAGAACTCAATCAGAACCCTACCTGTATCACTGTTTTTGACAACATATTGCTAGAAAGGATTGTACAAGCTGACAGTCACCTTAACATAAACACCCAGACTGAACAGCAAGACATATTCAAGGGTTCAGAGCACCCTGGAAATTTCTAGAAAGACTGTTTCATGGAGCCTCTTTTAATGGGGTTGTATAGAAACACACACTTGGTTCTTATTTCCCAGGAACTAAAACATCCCCAAAATTTAAAAAAGTAATGAAGTTTCTGCCCAAACTAGAGACAAAGAAAATTGAGAGCTAGGATGATTAGCTCCTTAGTTATTTGGAAGCTATTCTAGAGAAGATTAAAAGCTACTGTGGTGTGGTCTGTACTTAAGTCCTAGAGTATATAATTTTAGCGATCATCTGGGAGCAGCTAGGGAAGGAATAATTATGGAATACTGACAGAGCAGAGGCCAAATTCTCAAAGTACATGTGTAAAATCTAATAAGAAACTTCCGCTGATGAAGAAAAGAGCTTGGAAATAAAAATAAAAAGGAGAGTAAGAGCATGTAAGTCAATATAGAAATTTAACTGAACTCTTCTCTCCCTTTTATTTTGCTTTCCCCACTAGATCTTTCCTTCCTAACCAAGAGACCATCAGCAATGAACCCTTCCCAACAAGGTTTCTGAGTGAAGTCAAGAAACTGTGCAGAAGTTATCAAGAAACATTTTCGTTGCTGTTGTTGGTTGTGGGGCTTGAACTCAGGGCCTGGGCGCTGTCAGTGAGCCTCTTTGTGCTCAAGGCTAGCACTCTACCATTTGAGCCTCAGTGCCACTTTCAGTTTGTGAGTAGTTTATTGGAGCCGAGAGTCTCACAGCATTTTTCTTCCTGGGCTGGCTTCAAACCACAGTCCTCAGATCACAGTCTCCTGAGTAGCTAGGATTATAGGTGTGAGCCACCAGAGCCTGGCTTCAAAAAACTCTTTGAAACTAATTGCTTCTGCTGACAGGGGTTGAAAGTTAATTAAGAAAATAGTTACAGAGCATGATTTTGCACACCTATAATCTCAGCTACTTGAGAGGCAGAGGAAAGAGGATTATGAGCCTAAGGACAACCTAAGGAAAAGAGGCAAGACACTATCTCAAAAACCACAATGCAAAAAGTGTACCTTTTGGGGTTATAAATCCAGGGGTAGACATTTTGTCTAGCATGCAGAAGGCCACTGGTTCAACTCCCAGTACTGCAGGAAGGAAGGAAGGAACAGAAAGAGGCAGGGAAGGGGAGAGGGAAAGGAGAGGGAAGTTCGTTTAGCAAAAATAGGCAAACTAAGAAACACTCAAAGGAAGCAACAGATCAGAAACTACAGAAAGGGAGAAAATATTTCAGACTACACATCTGACAAGGGCTTAATATTTCAGAACACATGAAATAAATAATTCAATAAGAAGGAGGTGATCATGGTTTTCACATAGACAAAAGAATTTAATAAGTGGACATTTCTTTTAACAAGACATACAAATGGCCAAATAGATATATAGAAAATGTTTAGCATCACTAATCATCAAGGGACTACAAATCATTACTACAATGATTGGCTCTTTCCAAAAAGACAAAAATTATGTGCTAGTGAGGATGTAAAAAAAAAAAAGGAAATTGTATCACTCTTGGTGAAAACTTAAATTAGTACAATCATTTTGGAAAATAGTATGGAACTCCTTAAAAATTAAAAGTAGAAATAGCACAAGATTAATTAAACCCTCTCCTGGGCATGTGCTAACGTATGCAATCAGTTAGATATCAGCACTCTCATCTCTGTTTCAACACTATTCTTAAGATCCAAGACATGGAAACACCCTAAATGCTCAACAACACATACATTGATAAAGAAAATACAGTAAATCTAAACAATGAAATATTATTCTACCATAAAAAAGAATGAAATGCTCTCATTTGATATAACATGTACATACCTTATGGCTATTATGTTAACTGAAATGAGCCAGACACAGAAACACACTGACTCTTAGATTTCACTCACTCATATGTTAAAAATAAAAATGATGAACTTACAGAAGTTTACAGCCAAACAGAGGTTTCCAGAGGCCTAAAAAGAGGGGAGGTAGAGAAAGAATGATTAAAGAATAAGCAGAAACGGTCAGATAAGTTGATGTTAGGCGAAATGAACCCCAAGATAAGGACTCAAATGTTTTTTTTTCTTTCTTGTGATTGTTTCTAACATATTTATAAGATGATTTCTTTGTTGCTTTGTATGTCCCTCCCCCACGGTATAACCCCTGTTTTACTGTATTTGATGTTGGTATAATTTGTGGAGGGGAAGGGAAAAAACAAATTGTTTAAATAGGGATATACGTGGATCCATTGCAACAATGAGATGTACAAGACATTATGTCGAAAAATGATCTTTACAATCTTGGCCATGGGAGTGATGGGGTGGGAAGGGGGGGGCAGATGGGAAGGGAGGAGAAGGAGAAATAAAGGAGGAGGCAACAATGCTTGATAAGAAATGTACTCATTACCTTGCTCATGTAATTGTATCCCCTCTGTATGGTATTTTCACAATAAATAAAAAGAATATGAAGTTACAGCTTTAGGAAAGGAGTAAGGTATAATGTTATATTGAACAGAAGAGTGTCTAAAGATAATGATAAGGTTTATATATTTCAATATAGAAGGAAGATTTTCAAATATTCTCACCATAGAGGAGTGGACACACAAGGTAATGGAGAAACTAACTTACCTGAATTTATTAACATATATATGCATTAAAACATTATATTATACCCCATAAATGTGTCCAGTTCAAAAGAGTCCAAAAAACCTCATCAGATATTTAAAGTAAGAAGAAAATATTTGCATTGTACTGAGGATGTTAAAAGAGAGATATGAAGCCAGGTGATGGCTTATACCCATAATCCTAAATACTCAGGAAGCTGAGATCTGAGGATCTCAGTTCAAAGCCAGCCTGTGCAGGATAGTCCATGAGTCTCTTGGCTCAATTAACCACAGAATTACTAGAAGTAGAGCTGGGGCTCAAGTGGTAGAGCACTAGCCTTGAACAAAAAGAGCTAGGGACAGTACCTAAGCCCTGAGTTCAAGCACTAGTACTAGTTACAAAGAGAAAGAAAGAAGGGGGCAAAGATATTAAGAGATAACAGTAGTAATTATCGTACAATTACTCTGAATTTACTATAGACCCTAAAACAGCTACCATCTCTCAAGTATGTCTTCACAATAAATGGTACATAAATGTATAACTGAGAGGTGGTAGCTATCTTTAGATCTTCTTAAAAGTTAGAACGAGAGAAAGAAAAAGTAATTTAACACTTGGAGCTCAGAACTTCATATTACATGTGTAGGAACAACCTTTCCTGGAGTATACTAGGTTTCTGGTTTCTCTTGGCCATTGTTTCCTTCCTTGCATGTTGATATTCTTTCATTGTCGGAAGGCCTAAACACTGCCGGACAAGAGGTTCTGGCTGCAGCCTCAGCAAAAGACATAAGCAAATGAACCACTTTCTGATAGCTGTCCCTTCATCCTTCTGTAAATCAAGTTTCAAAAACGAAGAGGAGAAAAATGAAAACCCTTTATGGGAAAAGGTAAGTAGGACTCTCTACCACAGCTTCCTACTTGTGCTATTATTACTAATGTAGTATTTGTTATTTATCATTGTGAAACAAGATTCCTCCACTTTACCAACATAAAGTATCAATAAGAAGTTTCTGTGCTCAGCAATTTGGGAATATTTAGCTGAGTGGTTCTGGCTCAGGCTGTCTTATAGGGATGAAGTCATAGCATCAGCACATTGATGTGGCTATAGGCAAGAGGACTCAATTCCTTGCTAGCTGTCAATAGGAGGTTCCATTTCTTGCTATATATAGGCCTCCCTAGTGACTTAGAAGCTAACTTCTTCGAGAATCAGGGATTAAAGGTAGCCCTACCTCAAGGGTCAGACTTATTTGTACTCTATCTTACAGGTTAGAGTTACATGTCAGCACAAGAGGGACTTTGTAGAAGCCAGGAAACTGCGTGTGGAGCACACTGGTGCTAGCTTACTCAGCACACAGAAAGAGAAATGGCTTTGGCTTTTCTTTCCCAAGTACCCCTTCAGCCATTACTTAATGAATTTCTTAATATGGACTTAAACATTCCTAAGCAATACTATCCATGACATTATATATTTTATGTGATCTTTATGTTTTGAGTATATTAATTTCCAAGGAGAAATTGAGCTATTAAAGCAAAACACAGGTTTTCTTCTCATAGCAACTTAGAGTATCAGCAGGGGTTGGTACCAGTAAGGCACCTCTCATTACAAGCCAGAGCTGGTCATGCTTGAAGGAGATAGGAAGCATTTGTTTTATGTGACACTTACAGTAAATTCCCTGGAAGTTGAAGGTAATAGTGTAGGGTCAGGAGGGGATACAAGCCTACAATAAAGCCCATTTGCTGTGGTGGTTCTGTCACTTGACAGCCATCATGGGTAATTACTTCAAACTGAAGCCATTTAAAGAATTGAACCATAAGGGGAAAGCAGATTGTTCTCAGGATATAAAACTAAACTCACCTGATTTTGTATTGTTGTACTGCTGTCCACTTTCATTACCTAAGGCCATAAAGCAATTTTAACCATTTCCTGGAATGTCCCCAGCAAGAATTGCTTTTGCTTTGCCATTCTGGTGAACTGGATGTAACCATAGTTCCGCGTTAGAATGTTTGCAACTGGGCCATCCAGGAATGCTTTCTGGTGTCTGAACTCATGCAAACATCCCATTGGGTAACCTTGGTATTACTTTAACTATGGTTGGGGAAATCATGTTATAATCATTGCATTTTATTAGCATCCAGCCCTTTTCCCTCATAAAATTCAATGTTCTGTAACCTATTGCCTGTTCTGTCCTATGTACTGGCTTTATCTCTTCTTTGGGTGGTACATCCATAAGCTCTCATTTTGCTTTCCTAAGATTGCTGTTTACTGCTGTCCTTCATGGCCAAAGGTGACAATATTGTCCGTAGAGGAGAATGGTTGGAGGTTAAGAATTGCCATATCAATACACAGTCTCATCCTTGCTCCAGCCTGCAGCCTGTGGCAGTTTGTAGGATCAGAAGCTGTGGTTTTACCGTAAGTCTGTCAACAATATAGTGTCAGTTCATTGGACAAGAGAACTGTGTCATTTAATTCTTACTCTAAATTCATACCTGAATTAAATTATTGTAACTATTGCACAGTTAAGTTCATTTTCCTCACTATTATGTATTCAAGGTGTTGATATAGGAGCTATAGTGCATGCAAAGCACACACTTACCACATAACTATGCCATAACTTTCCCAAAGCATTTTCTCTCCCCCTTTAATTAGGTTCCTTTTATTGGGAGCTTTAACTTCTAAGGGGAAAAGCTTTACAGTTTAACTCTACATAAATCCAACTTCTGTGTCATGAACACTATAAGAAGAAAGTGTAGCCTCTTCATCATTGTAATTATATCAGATTATAATCAAATAATCTTGGATTACTCTGGAGACAGATAACATCTGATCTGCTCTACTACAGTGGCTTAGACATATCTGAAGGATTTTATTCAGCAATTCTATTTCTCTTCTTTAACAACAAATGTACAAATACAGAGCATTTTCACAATTAAAACCTCATTAAAGCCAGGCACAATAGTACAAGCCTGTAATACAAACACTTCAGAGGTGGAAATAGGAAGATTTTGAGTCCAAAGCCATTCTGGGCTCCATAGTGAGAACTTGTCTTAAAACAAATAAAACAGCAACAAATATTGTACCTCATTAACTATAACAAAAAGATATATTTTGAAAGCCCATGAAAAACTACTCTCAAGTCTCCATGAAAATGAGTTCATGAAGAGACAGAGCTGGATTAGGAGCTCTTTCAATTTCCCCAACACTATGTGTTTTCTGTCATCTTTGTTTCTATCTTTGCCTCTCCACTGTACAGTTTCCTCTGAGTGAAAGCTTATACAACAGGACAATTGTGCTGTCATCTAACAAATGTCTCTGTGTCTCCAGTCAAAGTAAGAAGAAAAATTAAAATGTTATTCAGCTTTTGGCATACAGATTCTGAGGAAGATGATATTAATGGTAATTCCTTTAGTAATCTAGAAATCGATTATGTAAAGAAAGAGAGTTTAAAATATTCTGGAAAAGAGACAGAAAAGTTAAGAGCTGGACCATCTTGATAGGCAGATACTTAATTAGTCACTGGGAAGGACACAGATATTGAATGAAGACTAACTTTTATTTTTTGTCTTTTCAAAAATTGTCTTTAAAAGTATGAAGAAAAGAATAGAAAACAAAAGAGAAGGAAATTGTGAGGGGAAAAAAAACTGCTTTTCCTATCAAAGTGTGTTGCTTAAAATTCCCACTTTGGCTAGAACTTCTGGTTTGGTTTTTGTTAAGGAAAAGAGGAACTGCTTTAGGATAGGAAAGGATTTTTAGAATGTCTTAAACTGCTTTCTTCTTAAGATGGAATTACAACACACCCAGACTGTTCAAGAAATAGCCCAGGATGTGGGTATATCTTGAGATCACTTGTGTATTATTGTTGATCTTATTTCAAAATCACCTTATGTAAATATTTTACCGTGTATAAGTTAGCCAATCACAAGCAACTTGTGAACCAGAGCTCAACCAATCAGAGCAGAGGGGAGGGCCTGCCGCCTAAAGGATAAATATTGGAGCAGACTGCCTGCTGTGTTTGCTTGCTTGCCAGTCTTTCCCTTCTGCACAGAAGTAAATTCCATCTTGCTGGAAAAAAAATGCTTTTAGGTAGTTGTAGAAAGGAGTTTCAACTCAACATGTCAACTTATGAGTACAATGCATCTTGATTAACTCTCCTATCATCCTCCCCACCCCCATCTCTCCCAATTCCATCCATCCTCTCAAATTTTCTAGTTCCGTTTTTATACCTGTACGTTGAGTATTATAACTGTATTAGGTCATCATTCCTCTCACTATTCGTTTGTGCTCTTCCCCTTGGTTCTCCTACTTTCTTTTATTTTTCATCCTTTCTTCAGTTTCTGCTTGCTGGTACTCATTGTGTTAAACTGTCCAGTTAATG